GGGCAAAGAGAGAGAGAAAGAATCCCAAGCAGGCTCCACACTGTCAGTCAAGAGCCCGATATGGGACTTGATCTCACAAACCGTGAGATCATGAGCTGAGCCAAAGTCAGACACTCAACTGACTGAGCCACCCAGACATCCCGAGGAATAGAGTATTTTTTGTTGTCGTTGAACATTTCTCCAAGGTATTCTCTAGATCTTAGCATTTTTTTCCTAAATATATATTTTTAAGTTAGTTAGACTGTAGGGAGTATTATAAACACCTCTCTAATGACCTTAAACCTATTTATTTTTATGGTAAATTAATTACATTTCACCTTTGTCTTTCTTTCCTCAGTATACGGTGTTCTTGGATGAGCATGGGTTTTAATGATAAATACATGAATCAAATCCCAGCACTACCACTTATTAGCTGTGTGACCTTGGGCAAGAGGGAACCTCTTTGAGCCTCAGTTCCCTCATCTGTAAAATGAAGATGATAATAACGATTTCATGGGCGTGGTTGTACAGATTAAATGAATGCACACGAAGTAGTTAGTGAAGTGCCTGGCACATAGTGACTACTTAATAAATGGTAGTGTTGTCAGATTGTCTCTTCTCGTTTGAGGGTCTCACATATTAAGAATAGGACTCTAAACAACTGTCAGTTTATTGAGCATCTTTGCCAGGCACTGTGCTCTAGGCCTTGACATACAATATCTTTTTTCCTTATAATCCAAAGAAGTATTAGTACCATTTTACAGATGAGTAAACTGAGGCTTAGCAAAATTTAAAAACTTACCAAAAGACACATAGGAATAATTTAACCATTTTTGTGGCAAGGCGCCCTATATTCACAAATCAGAATGTATTAGCTGAGGCTAGGTTGTAAGCAGGTATTGAGTTCCCCTGGCCCCCAATCCATTTGAAGTATGGGGTTTTTTTGTTTTATGTTTTTCTTCATTTTTGGAGCCAAGCATTGGATTACTGGACAGCCATCCAGTGTTGCCAAGACATTATTTATGGTGTTGTAGTATAATCATATAGTAACAGTTTCTGGGAATATAATATCGCCCTATTGTTTTGCTTTAGTAAATCTGTAGGTGTGTCTAACCGGCAGAATAAGAAAGTAGAAGAAGAAGAAAAGTTGCTGAAGCTCTTTCAGGGAGTAAATAAAGCCCAAGATGGATTTACCCAGTGGTGTGAACAGATGCTTCATGCCCTTAATACGGCAAATAACTTGGATGGTAAGAATTGGGGAGGGAAACCCAGCATGTGGAATGGCAGAGTAGGAGCCCCAAAAAGGTTTGCAAATTGGAATAATGGGCCAAAACTCAGGAGGTGAAAGGTAATGGAGGTCAGATCCTGTACCTACCGTAAGAACTTGACTCTTTCATAGTATTGTAAATACTGCTTGTGAGAAAAGTCCTGTAATACTGTGCTCAAATAGGTTATCAGTGGTTGCCAAAAAATAAGTACTATTGTCAGGCTGTCTTATGATGTACAGGACAGAGAAGGTCACGGTTCCATATGGGTCATTTTGTGGGGGACATGCCAGCCAGTCCACGTCCATAGGAAGGTAACTCATGGTGGAGACAAAGGTTATCCTGGGCGAGAAAAGCCTGAAGTGATGTGAGAACTTTCCCTTCCTGCCTTCGGCGGCAGGGGTGGGAATTGTGTGACAGAGCGAGTAGACTCATTTTGTGCTGGATGAAACTAGGACCAGTGAGTGGAAGTGAAAAGGTTTGAGGGCAATTTGAAGAAAACTTCCTAAGTGTTAGTTGATCACAGAAGAGAATCATCTGCCTTAGATGGAAATGAGTCCTTGCCCCTACCCTCAAATGTTTGAACCAGAGACCAGCTTGGTGTGGAAGGGATTCCTGTAACTGATAGGCTACGTTGAACTAGTCTATCTCCAGTATCTTAACTACTAAAACCAAGGATGTTTTAAAAACAGAACAGTAAAGGAACGGAAGCGTTCCTTTGCATCATCGTTAACAATATCTAATGGTCTGAAAGAACCAGGGAAAACAATAGTAAATAATAGTAATGGCTACCATTCATTAAGCACCTGTCATGTGCTAGGCACTTTCTAGCAGTTAACATATGTTATTCCAGTTATTTAATTTTTGCAATAATTTCATAAGGTACCTTTACAATGTAGGTGATATTATCCCCATTTTATAAATTAGGAAACAGAGGCTCAGAATGGTTAAGTAATTCATCAAGGTCACACAGCGAGCAAATTTCAGAGTCAGGTTTTCAACCCATGTCTGTCTAATTCTGATACTTGTGCTTTTTCTCCTGCACCACACTGCTTGCAATGCTCCATTTGATTCCTTTCTAAACAAACGATATCTCCATGAAGTGAAAGTTCCCGGGGCGTGTGGTTGTATTTTTAGTTATCTGTCACGGTGCCCGACACACATCATAGCACTTAATAAATAATTGATTGAATTTAAGGAAAGAAAAAAATGAATTTCCGGGTGACTTCTTAGGCAAGCAGTTTTTTCAATCAATATAACATTTAGTTTTTACTAAAGTAACATTTAGTGAAACTAAGCATGCATGATGTGTCTTTGTTGGACTTGATGCTATATTTGATAATTTTGGTCATTGCAATGACAGTGGGCTTTTTTTTTTTCCCTCAGTAGATTAAAGAATATTTAACACAGTAGCTGCTTACCTTTCAAGTTTACATGATTGAGTTGGTCGTAGGTGTGACAGTATATTAAGAACTGAAACTGATTTCTTGCATGTGATATTTCATTGTTACTTTTTATGTCTTCTCCCCTCTCATGTTGCAGTTCCCACATTTGTTTCTTTCCTGAAAGAAGTAGAATCTCCTTATGAGGTCCATGATTATATTAGGGCCTATCTAGGAGATACATCTGAGGCCAAGGAGTTTGCCAAGCAGTTCCTCGAGCGCCGTGCCAAACAGAAAGCCAACCAACGGCAGCAGCAGCAGCAGCAGCAGCAGCAGCAGCAGCAGCAGCAGCAACAGCAGCAGCAGCAGCAGCAGCAGCAGCAGGTATGAATGAGGCAGTAGTTTGTATGGTGCTCCTGAGAGTGAGTTAAAAAATTTTTGTTTTAATGTTTGTTTATTTTTGAGAGAGACAGAGGCAGAATGCGAGTGGGTGAGGGGCAGAGAGAGAGGGAGACACAGAATCCGAAACAGGCTCCAGGCTCTGAGCTGTCAGCCCAGAGCCTGACGCGGGGCTTGAACTCACGAGTTATGAGATCATGAGCTGAGCTGAAGTTGGACGCTTGACTGACTAAGCCACCCAGGTGCCCCAAAGATACCATTTTTTAAAAATGTTTATTTTGAGAGAGAGAGCGAGCATGCATGCAAGCAGAGGAGGGGCAGAGAGAGAGGGGAGACAGAGGATCCAAAGTGGGCTCTGCACTGATAGCAGAGAGTCCGGTGTGGGCTCGAACTCACGAACTGTGACACCGTGACCTGAGCCGAAGTCAAACACTTAACTGGCTGAGCTACCTAGGTGCCCCAGAAGATACCATTTTTATACCGTAGCTTTTTAAAATGTGGTAGATTTGGGGCACCTGGGTCCATCGTCCGACTCTGGATTTCGGCTCAGGTCATGATCTTGTGCTTCATGGGATCGAGCCCCACATTGGGCTCCTCCCTGGCAGCACAGAGCCTACTTGGGATTCTTTCTCTCTCTGCCCCACCCCTGCTCATTCCCTTTCTCTCTCTTTCTCTCTCTCTCTCTCTCTGTCTCTCTCTGTCTCTGTCTCTGTCTCTGTGTCTGTCTCTCGATTAAATAAATACACTTAAGAAGAAATGTGGTAGACTTGATAATTTCAAATTACATATCCAGAGACTTTTTGCAAATTTCCCAAATAGCACATATAATCGTTCTCTATTCCATTTTCCGTGGTGCGTACATCTTCCTCAAATTGCAAATTCCAATTTGTCATAGACCCATAAATTTTTTGAATAGTTAACACCTACAAATGTTAAATCTCCAGTGCACAGGATCCACTGTACCCAATATTGACACTACTGTAGCATGTCAGACATTCGTGTGTTGTTGACGGGGATGTAAAAGTACAATCAGTTCTCATTATTCGTGGTAGTTCTGTTTTGTAGATCACCACTCACACTGAATTAGCGGAGAGTGAACCTGTTGCTCCAGGGGAAACACCCAGTTAGGTTTCTGTGAACCTCTGGTCACAACATTTTTGTCAGCCGATCGATATATAACCTTGTTTTATGCGTGTTTCTGTTTAAAGATGCCTTATTTAATATATTGTTAATTCCTTAACATTGCACTCATGGCCAGCAGCCTAAGAGCTCATGCCTGAATAACGCTTATCTAACAAGTGTATTTTCTCCATAAGGTGTGGCACAGCCTTCTTGCACTGAGGAACACCAGACGGCACTTTAAATGTGGGGTCATTGCAAACAGTGACAGCACCAACAAGCATAAAAATGTGAAAATCATGACACTAAATAGGCTGAAAAAGATACTTGTTCACAGTATGGGAGCTAAGACAAGAAGGCAGCTTACTGCCCTGTTCCACTGCAGCTGGAAATGTGTTCCTCAGGCAAGGCAGAGTTTTCACTGCTCTGTACATTTGCATATTCAGAATAACCATAAAAGCATTGCAAGTTTTGATTTTGGGGTTACAAATAAACTATAGCCAGTGAGTGAATTTGCAAATCTGGAATCTGTGAATAATGAGGATCAGTTATACAAGTTTTTTGAAAGATGAGCTGGCAAGGTTCGTGGAGAGCTTAAGAATATTCGTGTTCTTTAGTCCTGTAATTGTGTTAGAGATCATGTTTGTTATCGGTTATTTCATACCAGTCATTACATACACTCACTGTATAAAAGATACAGTGAAGTACAAGGCGTTTAAAATCCATTTGGGTAGATGGGCTAACGGGGATCAAGTGAAGGAAAGTGAGAGGTATAAACATGAACAGCACAAGGAGAAATGAGGGATCAGAAGGGAAGATGTTGTGTAGCAATACAGACCGCTCTTTGCATTTGTGAGATGGCGTCGCCGTGTGCCTAAATTGGAAGGTGGAGGCCCCTTGTGCGTGCACTCCACTCTTCCCCTGCCACTGCCACCACCTGTGCCTTCCACTAGCTCTTTGAATCAGATCCCAGTTTAAAATGGAGTTGCTTTAGTAAGAGCAACAGGCAAGTGTGAATGGCTTATAGACTGTTTCATAGTACAACTAGTTGGTAGAAAGTGTATGGATAACATTTGGGGACCAGATCTCTTCTAGGATTGCCAATGGGAATAAAATACATGATACTAATTTTGTTTGGTAACATGCTGCCAGCCAGCCTGCAGCCTGTCCTCGCTGTCCTGGGGCTCAGAGACAAAGGGACCTTATACTCTGCTGTAAATTGCTGGAGTACAGAAGTCTGTTTGATTATTTGCTGTGTATTTGGTTTCCTGGTGGATGGTACAGACTCCTTGTATACCAGAGACGTTTTGACGGATGTGTTGTCACGGTGGGGTGGATACCTGGAGTTACCAGGATAGGCCTTTTGGAGGCACAGAACTTGAATGGGATGTCTGAATCTAAGTGAAGGGAAAGAGTGGCCCAGTGAATTCCTCTTAGTTTCCCTATTACCAGAATCCATGATAGGCTTTCTGTTTTTAGTCTCGTACCTGATAAGGTAAGGGCAAATCAACCATTTTCTTAGAGGGGACCACACTTGTGTCCACTGTGTAACCTCAGTTGTGACATCTTGTTTCACAGGACTCTGTGTGGGGAATGAATCACAGTGCACTCCATTCAGTATTTCAGACCAATCAAAGCAACAACCAACAATCCAATTTTGAGGCCGTACAAAGTGGCAAGAAGAAGAAAAAGCAGAAGATGGTCCGAGCAGATCCCAGTTTATTAGGTGAGCAAAGGCCTACAGTCTCAGCTGGGTGTTGGGGTGTGCAGGTTATAGCAGTATCATTGAGTCCCATGATGGAATGTTTTTCATAAAGGGAAATATTTCTTATATAAAATTAATTTTTTAAACCAGCTTAAATTAAGTAGTATTTACTCGGCACATCAGTGTAAGAGCTATGCCTTGTGTGCTCTAGGGAATACGAAAAGTATTTACTTACATTGTCTGGTGCTGTAAACTTTGAAGCCTTAAATTTCATATTTAATATGAATTTTCCTGAAAGACCTTTTAATTTAGTTGGAAGATAATGCTAATGGAGAAAAGTAAAAGTTGTAAAAATTTAAATGCTGATTTGTAAGAAGCTGACCATAAATCCAATCAGGTATTCAAACAACTAGTATTTGTCGATATCCATTATGTATGTATGTATATCCAATTTTCAGAGTCATTCCGCCTTCCCAGGTCATGTTTCCAGTTTACCAGTGAGTAAATCAAGGCCCAGAGGATTTAGAACATTTTCTAAAGTCACATAGCTGTTCAGCAGTAGGGCTGGGATTTCACAGGAGGCCTGTTTCCTTCCCACTCTTCCGTTGGCCACAACTATTCTTGTCTAGCATTGAGAACCAGAATCTTCTTGCTAGGACAGCTTCATGGGAATGGTGACACCAGAACTGGGGCTTTGAAAGACTGGCAGGAAGGACAGGCATTAGTGTTTCTGGAATAATAAACCATCTAGACAAAGTTGATGCAGGCCACTTGTGTTTCTTAAATAGGCCTCACACCCTCACAGGCTATGATGCAATTAAGATGGTTCTCTCTCTCTCTTTTTTTAATGAATGTAAAATAGGCTATTAAAAACCATGCTTTCTGGAATAGAATGATTATATTGGCAAAGATAGCAGGTTGGGATGTTGGCCCAGGCAGGAGACAGACTAATTAGGCTGCACTATAGACCAGGTGAAAGGTCCTGGTGGCCTGGAATAGGGTTTTGGCAGTAGATGGAGAGGAGTTAGATGGATTTCAGAAACTTAGGGGACAGAATTGGCTGGACAAGGGGAATGGAAGGGTTTGGGCAGCAGGATGGGTAGTGTTGCCATTCGCTGAAAGGATGAGCCCTGGAAAATGGAGCAGGCCGGTGGAGTAAGGATGTGGTTGTTGAAGTGTGTTGGGCGGGTCCAGGGTGACATCAGGTGGTGATGCCCCTGTGAGCCGCAAACACAGTGAGAGGTGAATTGCCATCCTCCTCTGCCCTCAGGGTCCCTGCCTTCCCTGCGCAGTCTCCTGCCCTGGAGAAAAACAAAATGTCAGTAATAAAAACCTACCTTTGTGGATTGTCCTTCGGAACTGAGGCCTGAAAGCTGGCTTGGAACCAGAGAGGTCTGGTGAAATGCTGTTTTCTTCTGCCTGTCTCAGAAATTTATGTTAAGAATGGATTGAACAGTCTCACGTCTCATCCAGTTTTGACAGAAGTGGGTGAATATAGATTTAAAAGTGTTCCTGAAATTCTGGATGTGGGCTCTACGTAAGGAGACCTTATTTATTGCTCTTTAGCTGTGGCTCTCGAAGGGTAGGCTGTCAGAGAAAAGGTTCTTCTGAAAAGGAGGTAAAGCTCTTTGAATTAAATATTCAGTCTGACCCCATCCCTCTTACAGACCCCAGAAAGAAAGGGACTTAAAACTCCCTTCAGGAGAATGAGAGATTATTTTAGGAATAGAGTTTAAGGAATCGATTTATCTTGAAGGGGAAGAAAAAAAATATATAAGGGAAATAAAACGTTCAACAGAGTATTGAGAAGACTCATTTGTGTGGGCTTGTACCTTTTAATGAAAATTTCTGCTCATTTAAATTTCTCTCTGAAAATGCTTCTGATAATTACTAATTTCTGTCCCTTACCTTCTCATTTCTATTTATTACTATTTTAATTGATACATGTCTTAATTGGTTTACAGATTGAGAAAGATTAATAAATGTCCATCAGTCACAGTAACCCATGCACAGAATAGACAGGTTCTAATTTGGTCCAGAATTATCCATTGAGAAAGTAGTCACTGATCAAAAGAGAACTTTGCTTCTAAAATAGAAGGGTGCCCTTGTGAACCAGTATCCATTATTTGGATATGATAAGTTTCACACACAACGGCATTTCCCCCCAGTCATACTTCCCTTATAAGAACAGTCACTCAGGGGTGCCTGGGTGGCTCAGTAGGTTATGCATCCGACTTCTGCTCAGGTCATGATTTCAGCATTTGTGAGTTTGAGCCCCACATCGGGCTCTCTGCTGTCAGTATAGAGCCTGCTTCGGATCCTCTGTCTCCCTCCCTCTCTGTCCCTTTCCTGCTCTCACACACTCTCTCTCTCTCTCTCAAAAATAAACATTAAAAAAAAAAAAAAAAAAAGAAAAAGATCTCTCAGACCTTAAAGAAGTCATGTGAGTGAGAGGTAGTCATTTGTTCTGATCCTAACAGAGTGTAGTCTTTAGAACCAGGCACAGTGGGCTTACATCCTCCTTTGTATTGCCCATCGTGCTGGGTTTTGTGACCAGTAAATGAAACCATGTCTGCTAAAAGCTTAGCCCAGTAATTGACATATTGTCGATTAATAAGTACTGACATGGGTAAGGAACTTTTTTTTGGCCCACTTTTTTTCTGTCTTCACATGATTAAAATTAATTTAGTTTGTGTTTTTATTACGTTTCCACTTTTATCGCATGTAGCTCATTGTTTTTATCACGGTTCATCTGTTCTTGAGATACATGTGAAGTCAAAAACCTGCTTCTGAATAGAGTCATAGCTCATTTCATAAGCTGTTTGGTCTTTAAGTTTTTATAGTTACCTAATTAAACTGTTACTTTCAAATAGGGACACTAAGCCTTTTGTTATTTTCAAGACAAAAGTCTCGTGGGCTGTGGGAACACAGTTGATGGGTAGAACTACGGTTGGGGTTTGGAGCCCTAACCCCTTGTAGTCTTAGGCCTTGTAAGCAGCTTGTACCACAGCTTCCTCGCTCACTCTCCCTCTTGCTCTCCCTCTCTGTCTCTTCCTCTTGAGGAATATCAAATCTTGATATTTTGAGTCAAGAATATAGTGTAATTAAGCTATTTTTATTATGTGAGCCTTTTTTATTATTTTTTTTAAAAGTTAATTTATTTTGAGAGAGAGAAAGTGTGAGTGGGGGAAGGGCAGAGAGAGATAGAGAATATCCCAAGCAGGCTCTACACTGTCAGCACAGAGCCTGATGTGGGGCTCAGACCTATGAACCGTGAGATCATGACCTGATCCAAAGTCGGACGCTTACGTGACAGTGCTACCCTGGTGCCCCTATTATCCATACATTTAAAATGTGTCTTTGTTTGGGGCACTGTTATGGTGCAGTTGGTTAAGCGTCGGACTTCAGCTCAGGTCGTGATCTTGCGGTTCGTGGGTCTGAGCCCCGCATCAGGCTCTGTGCTGACAGCTCAGAGGCTGGAGCCTGCTTCGGATCCTGTGTCTCCCGCTCTCTGTCTCCCGCTCCTTCCCCCACTCGGGTTCTGTCTCTCTCTGTCATAAACAAACAAACATTAAAAAAATAAATAAAATGTGTCTTTGTTTGAAAACTTGAACATTAAAGAAAAAAGGGGGCAGAACACTCAAGTAATGTTAACAACTAACTGCTTTTACATAGGAGAGTTTACTTTTTGATACTCAAATAAGAGCTGAAACAGATTGAACAGATTTCATTTAGGGTAGATGAACTGAAAGCTTTTGGGGAGTCCCTTGTTCCAAAGAAGCCCTGTTAATAATACTTTATCTATCTCTGGTTATGAAGTTTATCAAAAAATTACATATGTGTGGCTGAAGGGATTAGGCTTTCAAACGTCGGTAGTGTTTGTGAGTACTGATCGTTGCCTTCGATGGTGGTACTAATATTACTTTCTCTAAACCAGATTCCATTTTGGTTAATCCATATGGCTAACTGAAATCCCTTCCTTTGCAAGCACTGTAATCTTTTTGTGCTCTCTACTCTCAGGGCTCACAGGATCATGTAGTGGATCTTGCCTGAAGCCTCCTATCCTCGAATGGCAAAAGCTCTTGGCCGAAACTTTGAAAAAGTTTTTGACCTATTGAGGGGGGAAAAAGTATTCCCAATAGCCAGTGGGACTGAAGTAATATCTATCCCACTTAGAATTCACAGTCTTCTGGTCAGGTAGTTACAAAGTATTTGGCATATGTTATTCTCTCTCTCCCCTCTGCCCACATCTCTATTAAAGTGCCCATCCTGAATGAACTTTCCCCGCCAGCCCCCCTGACTTGGCCTTAACACATGCTTACAGCCAGATTGTTCTCAGGAATCGCTAAGGCGCTAGTTCGTAATTCATTTTTTCCCTCCCTAATTAAATTATACCAGAACCCTGAGGAGTAAATAAAAATAAAGAATCTCTCACTGCAAGGGCAGCATACCACTCTCCGACCTTCATTCTTCTTTCTTCTTCCTTTCTTTAGTATCCCTATGGCAAGCTAAAACACGAGAGACTTCTCTTCCAGCCCACTGATGGGAATTCAAGCCCCATGGTTGTTCGGGTGTGATCACTCATTGCCAATTTTTTCCGGCAGGGTTTTCAGTCAATGCTTCATCAGAGCGACTCAATATGGGTGAAATCGAGACTTTGGATGACTACTGAGCACCTGCCAGTGGACTGGCCTTCCTTCTCCTCTCTGCTGACCATGGATTCTCCACCTTTGGACACAACACTTACTCACCATTTACTCTTTATCACTCTGCAACAAATCACAGAACCGATCATCTCAGGCTTTTTCTTCTAGCCCTTTGTGTCCAAGACTCTTTAAATTGTTTTTGTTGGTGAGCATCTCAGACTAGATAAGTGGACTGGACCCTGTGTCTTGGGGGTGGCAGTGGGGATTCCTCCCCAACAAGGCTGATTTTGGGCAGCACCTGTTTACTGTGCCGTGATTTCATCTACTGTGTCCCCGAAAGTGTGTTGGGATCTGCCAATAGCTATTTACTTTCTTATGTCACTTTTTTCCCTCCTGTTTTCTTTTTCTTCTTTTTAACTCCCCGTAAGAGCAAGGGGTCTAACTGGTGCAATCGTGAAGAGAGTTAATGGTAACAGACATTGGCCAGCCACACAATGCCATGAACTGTGACTTGAGTGTCCAAAAAGACAGAGCACCCCCAGTCTGAAGGTTGCATTGCCACTGTTAACTCTGGGATTGCATCAAAGAGGCCCTGAGTGGGGTGGAGTTTAGATTGGATTGGTTTGATGTTGCACACCCCTCGCCTGTTCTTTCTGAGCATCCTTTCGGAGAAAGGATTCATGTTTTTCTTCATTAGGTAGTGACTTCCAAGCAAGCTGACTTCTCCCTTGGCATACTCCAACCTGATTGGACAAAGGAAACTCTATGGCCTGGGAGAAGAACTTATTCTTAATTTTTCCTTTCTTACAAAAACTGATTTTTTCCCATAAATATTTTTACTTCAGAGGACTAGGACCAGTTTGTTTTGGGCCTTTCTGCTGAAAATTTGTCTCGTTTAAGAGGCAGCTAGGATCTTTACCATATGTATGAATTTGTATAATTTCATTTTGGATAGGGATAAACTTTTGCTTCTGATAAAAGCCCGGAATTTCATCTGGTTCCTCAGAGCATTGTGTGTGTGTCTTGCTGTGGCCCCAAAAGGTTCTGTTGAAAGATTCTGGAATGGCAAGTTGCTTGCCTTTTCCGAAAAGAAAACATACAAAACCTGACCATCTTTAAGACCTTCATCCATGGAAACCACTACACAGGAGAATGCAGTGGGGTGGAGGGGATGGGAGAGAATGCGGCAGAGAAGCCTGGCTTTGGCTTCTGATCATGGCCCCCTAATACCCCTTCACTTCAGTTACAGACGTATTCAAGCCCTATTTATAAACAAGTACTCCTCCTGCCTCCCTCAGCCCCCCACAGAACATCTCCTGGAATTGCCAGTCACACTTTGGTCTGGAGCCACTGGACCGTCCGTCCCTGTGTGAGAAGTGCTGTGGTTCGGTGGCTCCTAGTCGAGCACCTTTTCTTTCTGTCGTCATTGCCTGAAGAAGGCTGGAGTTGCTCTGAGAGCAGTTTGGTTTTGGCTGATTATATTTGGTTTCTATTTTTATTCTTTTGGGTCACCATTCTCCCTATCCCTTCTTGCCTTCCTCCCTCCCTCCCAAACATGTACAATAACTATACAGAGACTGCTACAAACTTGTATATAGTTTTTGGATCAAATAGCATGAGGAGATGGGGAACCATTCAAACTTGGGACTCCTGCTCTCCTTTGCTTTGTAAATTCAAAAGTGGGGGGTGGGGAAGAGGGATAGTTAAAATGTTTACAAAACTTTAAGCTCCCTCGGAACTTTTGCCAGTGTGGAGGAAAATAAAAAAGAACTTAAATAAAACATGGTGGTATTCTGTCTGAGCGCACCTCGTGTACTCACCTTTGTCAAGGCTAAGTTTTGCGCTAAACCGTTTTCTTGGCACCGTGGAGAAGCTCCAGGCACATGAGCACCCGAGACATCGAAGCAGCCGTGACTTTTCCTGCCAGGTTATGGAACACTGGCTGGTTCTGTATTTGCGAACGTAGAGGGCACGATAAACACAGGTAAGTTTGACCAAATGTCTTTACTCCCTTTCACTGTCCCTTTCTGCTGACTTGTGGGTCGTCTCCTGCCCTCACACCACAGACACACACGCCTGAATGTGCCTTCCAGAGCCTGCCCACACCTTCCAAACTGGACTCCACCGTGTGCTTGTTCAGAGAAAATAAAAATAAATAGAACACAAACATTTGGGGTGGGGTAGGTACATTTGGGGGAGCAAAGTCATTTTTATCATGGAACATTCCATTTAACCAAGAACCTTGCTTCTACTTGAGGAATTTCCCACTTAGTGGAAACAAGCCACTCTTCCCCAGAAATGTTCTTCTGTTTCAGTCCTGCTCCTTTTCACATCCTCATCTGTTCACTCCCTTCCAACCACCACATTATATCCCTTCCTGTAAACTTATTTGCAAATTAACGTAACTCTTTCTGAGTTTTAAAGTATTTGTTTTGTACGTGGTTTGCTTTTACTTATTTTAATTTGGATGTTTAAAAAACATACCCAGACAAGACAGTTTTATTATGGAGACTTTCCCCCCCAGGTAGTTGGTGTTCTCGTTACTGTTGCTGCATAACAACTTACCTCAAACTTATTTACAACAACCCCCTCATTTTGTTGGCAATTTTAAGAGTCACAGTTTGGGGGAAGGGCTTAGCTGGGCAGTTCTCGCATGGGGTCGCCTCTGATCGCGGTTAAGATGTCAGCTGGGACAATCTTAGGGAGCTTCGATTAGGTTGGCAGGCCAAGACGGATCACTCAGTGTGGCTGGCAGTTGATTCTGGTTGTTGGCTGGGAGCTCAGCTGGGTTCACGGCTGGAGGAACCATATATTCCTTTTCACGGTATCCTCAGGGTGGGTGGGCTGAGGTGGCACCTGGCTCCCACCCACCCCGAGGAGAACCAAGCAGAGGCTGCATCACCTTTTCTGACCTAAACTCAGAAGTTCCGTAAAGTCACTTCTGTGGTACTTTTATTCTGGCAAAGCCCGTGCACACCCATCCAGATTCAGCGGGCTGGGAACATGGGACTGTCCCCATCCTTGTTGAGCGATGTGGTAAGGTCACATCGTAGGAGAGCATGTGGGGTGGGCGATGTTGCCATTTGGGAGAGTTTTCTGCATAAGATGAGCTATGCATCTACATCAAGGAATTTTAACTCTTCATTAGCTCTAAGTTGGGGGATTACTTTTTAGTTTTAGGATAGGCAATAGCACTCCTGGCTTTATCTCAGTTACCTTTCTTTTAGGCAACCATTGTATAAATATGTAACATAGTGGTGTGTGTGTGTCCTTTTATACACTTTCTTTAAACCGATCAGACTAAGAAATTGAAATTTATACAAAATGCCCTCTCTGTGTTACTAATAAAAATAAAAAATCTGTATGACAGAAATGCTTCTGTGAAATGAACCCGTCTCTCTCTTGTGCTTCCAGTGTGGGAAGTAGAATTCCCTCACAAGAGCCTCAGACGTGCACATTCCAAATAGGTGGTAACTTACAACCAAGAGCACATTCCAGATGGAAGTTGGCCTCCCAGTTGATGGGTTTCTTGGAGCGAAAAGAAATAGCCCAGCTCTGGAGACGGATTTGGCCCTGCTTGAGTGCAGGCAGTTCCTGGTGAGGAAACTGCAGTGCTCGCTGAGGTCGTGGGGAGCCTGGGACCTTGAAGCAGCCAGATGTGTGGGGTTTATTTGAAGGGTGTCACCGGATGTCCTGGGAATGATGAACCCGTACAGCTTGTGGTAGTTCTAGTAGTTCCCAGTTCTAGGCCGGGAACCTTTGAGAGGAGAGTTTCCCTCCAGGGATCCGTCAGTGGGAATGTTTTGCAACTAAAACAGCATAGCTATGGTTCACTGTATGGGAGGAACAGCACATAGCTGCTGGAAGCAAGGGAAGAGAAGTGGGCTCTTTCCTTCATTACTCCTCTGCGGCCTAAAATCTATCACTGCCCCCCTGTCATTGCTGGCAAAGTGATGACCTCGTGAGGACAAGACTCAAAATAGCACCGACACTGAGTTCAGTTCAGGGGGTATTAAGCAGAGCCATCATCTCTCAAAGATTGTTCACTTGAGTACGGTGGTAGAATAGCATTCCTTGACCGAAAAGTACTTTTTCTTTTGAGTTTCTCGGAGAAGCAGTCCTGAAAATTGTCAGTGGGTCAGTATGAAGTTCGGTTGCATATAAGAGGAGACAAAAAGCAAAGTGAAACAAGATGGTTTCTCAAGTGAAATCTGGAGGTCATCAATCCAAGGCTGACATGTTGCTCAGGGACCTGGGTTCTTTTGTGTCACCATCCTGATTGTGGCTTACATACTCACAGTCACTCGTGGTCCAAGGTGACTGCTAGAGCACCAGTCATCAAGCCTATATTCCAGGCAGGAGGAAAGGAGTGAGTGGAAGCAAAAGAAGCACACCTCCCTGCTTCTAGCCCCCAATAAGGAGCTTTTTTAAAATCTTAACCTGTCAGGAATGTAAACACATGACTAAAGTTAGTTGCAAGAAAGGCTGGAAATTTGGGGCTTTTAGTTGAGTGTGCTGCCACTCGAAGTGCCACTGGAGTTCTGTTTCTAAGCCCTGGGGAGAATGGATATTGCATTGGCGGTTAGCAGTCTCTGACAGTAATATTCTCTAGTGTTCTCTTTTGAAGTTGCACAAGTTTGGGGTAGTTGGTGCACATAGACCATGGGAAAGGAATCTTAGCAACTACCCCAGGTTGGCCTCTGGACTGAGGACCTCCATCTTTTCTAATGAGCGGGCTCAGAACAGGCTCTGGTTTCCATTCTTGTGCAGAGCTGGGAACCCAGAGCAGTTTCCAAAGGCCCAGCCTTGTTGTGTCCAGAATCTCCCAGTTCTACCCAGAGTCTGCGTTTGGGGTGGGTTTTTTTAAAGGTACTCGGTGGAATGAACCTGCAAATAGTTTCGGGAATGGAGGTCCTAGAGTCGAGCTGTCAGATTTGAATGTTGGTCCTACCACCACCTCCTTTGGGCAAGGTTTTTTTCCCCCCCCCATCCGTGAAATGGGAACTATCAAGTAGTTGGGACTAAT